AACTAGTTCAAATTGACATAAGAATGACAGCGAAGCTAAGAACACGCACCACCATGCTCCACTGACTCGACTTTGGAACAAAACGAGAGGTGAGTTGGGGACAGATCGCTTGGACAGACGCATCTGGCATCGCAGCAGACGAATCGCTAAGTGCTTCTCACTTGATACTACACTGTTATTTTCATAAATTTTAAATGCGTGCGTTCTAGCAAAGTACAAGCGTGTTTGTTGTCAAGTGCTGTAAAAACATTTCATCATTCTTTATTCCAAATCTGGAACGCAATGGCAAAGCGATCCGCACCATGGTGGTTAAGTTTGTTCAGGATTCACTTCTGCCCCATAGTTACATGAACTCTTTGCAATGAACTTTACAGACAACAGAGTGAAGTAAGATTCAAGGGGATATATTTCCATATCACTTTGTTTTCTACTCGGCAAACAAGCGTTGCGAATCTCAAGAACGTAATCCATCCGAACCAGATCGGAAGCCTGTACTTCCCATAATTCCCATGGGGGTACACGCGCCGCTGAATGAGCCCACATTGAAACTAGCGCCTGATTCTCCTCTAGGTATCATTGTATAAAACTATATTTTTCGAAAGAGAGAACTGCATCCTACACTTATCTAGACCATTAGTCTCATTAACTCACTCACGGTGTTTGTATGGTTAGTAGTTCGCTACTTTGTATCAGCCAGGTGGCACTGGGTCTCCCCTGCGTCTTCTCTGGACAAAAATAAAGTTTTAATTGCCATCATCATCATCCTCATCGTAGTTAGTGGTTGACAAATTCAGTTTGCGGTGCAAGACGCAGCCGAATACTAACGTGTCTCTTCGTCCATGTTTTCTTCATATGTTTGACAGTCTGCGCAACTGCGATAACGGCCACAACATTATATGATAAATGACAGTGTCGTCTCACCAGTTTTCTAGTTTACTCTCGAGAGTAGTCCTTCGGATAATGTGTTTGGATATCAACAGCTGTTTTTCAGAAAACTCTTCTAGATTTCCGTTCTTGTAAGGAAGGCGTAGCATGTATACCTTTTGACCTTTTCTCCTTCATGTACACTTTACGCTGCTTGATTTCTGTTAAGCGCTAACATGATAAATAGCCATCGCCAACTCTCCGTAGTCCATGGAAAATATCACCTCAAGCGTAACTATTTATCCTAATGCCTTCAGATTAAATGTCACTCGCGCGGTGCCACATGGATGTACGAAATGGCATTCGCCCAAATGCCATTCGTCGCCTAATGCCATCGGCAATACTCATTTGGCTAAGAAATGCATACTCTCGACGGTACAGCCGATGAAGCAATTGTATAAAACAACACTTGATTCGAGTGAAAGGAAACTTTTCGCGTATTTCATGTGTACTAGTCACTTAACCAAGTGCTTAAAACTTATCCTCAGCTGGTAGACGCTGTAAAATAAATGTGACAAGGTGCCATTTTCTTTCTACGCTGCGGATCTGACTAGCATTGGCTCAAGTTACTACATAATCAGTTGTAACATCGTGAAACAAAGTAACGAACGAAATATAACGACAGCGTAATATGCATATTTATACATTTATTGATTATCTGATGCATAAGAAGCTTGTAAACGCTGGTTTATTTTTTATTGCTACTCACCAAATGCTCACGAGTAAGATGCTGCGATTGACATCATCAAGTAAATATCATTCGCTTTGAATGTGTAGCAGCGCGGGCCGAAAAAAAATGTCATTCGGTAACTGAATGCCTTTGCTACTGAATGTCATTTTCTATGCCCGTGTGGCTCGGGTATAGCGTGGTGTGACTGCAACCCAAGTATTCCTTGCTGTGTGAAAATTCCATCTTACTAAGAAGTTGATTACCTTTGCGCTCATGACAGCTATGCGTTAACGCAATTTCGGTGATAATTAATACTGTCAGTGACACTAGGTTTCGAAGAAGTGATCAGACAGAACTCGATACTATTCGCTATTTCAAGGTTGTATTTCGGCGAGCTCCTAAGATAACGTTCCGTTAAAAAGCTGCGTAGCCCTGATAGGTTTCATAAATTACGTGAAGTTACACTACTTCAAGTCCAGCGCATCATGTGAAATAATTTTTATATGGTGGCGGGCGTCGAGGCAAGGGACTATTTGTTGTACGCGTGTGAACGCGTCTGACATGCGGTAGAGTTCTACACGCTGCAGTGAAATTACTGTTAGTCTCTCCCCCACCCCCTTTTTTCCCTCTCTTCCCTCTTTCTCGTCTTTCTTGTCCCCTTCTTTAATCCCCCAGTGTAGGGTAGCCAACCAGATGTCTTTCTGGTTAACCTCCCTGCCTTCTCCCTTTTTGTTGTTTCCTCCCCGTACTACAACATAGCAAAGAACTGATAGGTGGAAGTACAGTCAAGCTAACCATCGCTAACAAATAATGTATAATAAATGTGCTATAAGAAGAATGCACGCAATTCAGTGCTGAACTCGAGGCAGCAAGGCAAGTGCTCGTGTCAGAAAATAATCCTTCAAAGCTGGCATTTCGCTGACACCAGACATGGATTTTCCAGGGAAGCTGCTGTGTTCGAAGGATTTAAGTAATCCTTTGAAATGCTGTCAAATATCGTCTTCGTTATTTCCTGTTTCTTCTGATGCTTAGAAGGTTATGGTCAAGTCTGCGTACAAAACTGCTGACAAGCAGCATTCCGGGCCACTAATCTCTCTCAAAGCCTTTCGCTACTTTTTTCTTAATTACTTATTTTCTAATATTTTGGCTGGGGGCAGGATGCTGTCTGAATCTCAGATATTTCTGCCATAAGCACACCACTTTGCGGCTAAGTTTAGCTGCTTTCACACTTAACATACTCTTCTATATACCTATCGGTAATTTAACGCTATTCTTGATTGATATGTGGGGTTTAATGTCCAAAAACCACTATATGATTATGAGAGACGCCGTAGTGGAGGGCTCCGGAAATTTTGACCACCTGGGGTTCTTTAACGTGCACCCAATTAACGCTATTCTTACTCTGGCAACTTCACATTTACTGTTTGACAGAACTGGAAACTTATGAAGTATTCTTAACAAGGCATGCTTTGCTCAGAGATAGCTAAAAGCATATTACCATTCCCCTTTCAAGTATTATAATTTTTAACGCACGAGCTGACGTAGAGAAAACACGCTCAAATTGAAATCATGCATACAAAAGTGTATTTGGGTTATTTCCTGTTCAGACTGTTCTTTGGTATTGAGGACACTGCGCATATACATTTGCAGTGTTTGGATTACTCATACAAGTTGATTTTTGTAGGCTTTCACTTCATACGGCATTATACGAAAAGGAGCAATGGTGGCACTTCTAGGCACCGACATCTATAGAGCTGAGTTCATAACACTTCTTTTTGGTTGGTGAGCTTTTCCATTGTTCAGCCGGCTTACGTAATGATATGTCCGGCGTCTTGATTAGCTGGAATGTTCTCTTACACATTTTTTTACCCTAAGAAGTTTAATTATTATGGGCCCTGAACATTAATAAAAGTACTTCATTGCCCCTGTTCTCCCAGTTTACAATTTTGTTGTCTCTCTTTAAAGTGCGTCCAGGCGTAGCCACGAATTCTTCATCACAGATATTGGCATTTCGCATGCAAACTACCACCAAAAAATAATATATTTGCGTAATCTTCCATTTTTGGCACAACCATAAGCCATTAAAAACACCTTTTCTTTTTGATTGTACATTCCTGTAGAGATCTAATAGAATAGCATCACTTGCAGCTGAACGCTATTCCCGTGCCTAATATGATGAATGTTCGCAATTTCAGGACGAATGGTGGCATTTTTTTTTCTTGCTTCAGTGTAGCGGCTCTTGTCTTTTAAACGTGGTCACACCTCGCAAACAGCAGCAATTCTTCTGAAAACTCCTGCTAACATGACGCGGCCGCCATATTCAGTAATGAAGAGAAAGATAAGTCAGAAAGGAAATTAATTGCCTACCTTGCTTCTTCCATGATTCTCGAGAAAGTAATTTCAACCAGCACACAGTGTTACCCAAGGAGCAATCAATCTTTGTTTTGCCTTTTTCCTTAAACATTTACCAAGGAACATGGCAATGCATTTCACCACTCTTTGTTGTTAGATGTCTGGGAAGCACAAGAACCCCACACAATGATTCATTAAAGCTCGTTCTTCGTTAACCTGTCTGGAACTTTTATTAGTAAACACACATCCCTTCCTTCTGTATACTTTATTCACTTATACGTGCGTATATTTGCCTCAGTTTAACATCCATATTTCAGCGCCACGACCTATTAAGAAATATAAAGTCAGGACTTACGTCTTTTTCGTTGTTTGCTAAGTTCTGAACTTTCTAGGACGTATTGCTGGGTTATAACTGAATAAAGCAGTTATTGAGCGTTTGTTGTGTTATTATAAAATTGCTAGGGGTCGACCACTGAATAGCGCTCACAAGAGTGCTCAACATGCAGACGACTTGAACATCTTCGTTCGTGCGTTTTTAAGGTACAGGGGAACGGTCCCTTACTGTCGAAATCTGATGTTGCTCCTCAGGTGCATGTAGCTTTGGGAGTTCAGGCCAAGCTACAACTGCATCGCTGGTAGAAGTGTCCTCCTCCTTTTACACGGCTACATTTGGTCTACGGGCTAATTGACGCGATGCGTCAGCTCTGTTGCCGGTAGAAGCGTGCTTCAGCATCAGCAGCTGCTGAGCAAGATGCAGACATCAATAGCTCGAAGCGTGTTGCAACAACTGGACATTATCACCACAGTTTTCACAAGCTTTCAGACGTCCATCGCTTGAGAACACGAGCAGCACTTTTATACCTTCACCGCGACAAGATTTTGGGTGCATTGAGTCGCGCATGCAAGTTCAACAGAAGTTGCATGAAGCAACGACTGTGTTGCCCTGACTCACCGTCTCTGATGCCAGGTGCCGAACTGGTGTTACATAGACGGCTGCACTGACTTTTTTCTGTTGTTCTCCAACTTTCTTTCCCTCTCGTTCTTCCCCGTGCAGGGTAGTATTTCGGGTTCAGCCCTGGTCATTCTCCCGGCTTTTGATGTATCTCAATTCTTTTTCTTTGTGGACTTCAAGATTTCCGCATTCAACTATGATAGCCACAAGCATGTGTTCCAGATTACACAAAAGGAGAGCAAGGGCGAAGAGAGGGAGACATTAAAGAAGAGCATAGCAACGTGACCTTCGCAAAAAACCTACGTTTCAAGCTCAATCTTCTGCTGTGGTGGTGGTCACGCCGCAGAAAAAAAGGAATGAAAATGGTGGCAATAAATCAAGCTTGGAGAAAAGATTACAGAATATCAACGAAGTGAATGATGGTGAGTGGGGAAAAGCATTCGTTCCTCTTATGTATGCCCATCTGTCAGTGCGTCTGGACGAACGGATGGACAGAGGCACGGACAGCCAGAATCACGTACTCACTGACGTGAGCATGACTGGACGCAAGAACGGATGGACGGACTGATAGACGCATGGTCGAATGGACGCACGGATGGACGGACTGATGGGCAGACTAAAGGACGGAAACACGGATGGACAGAAACACGCACAGACCCATGCACGGGCGGGCCTACGAAAGTTCAAACGGACGGATGGACGCAAGGACGGACGAATGAACACATGACACACAGACGGACGGAAGCATGCACGGACAGACAGACGGACGGACGCATGGGCGGACTCAAGGACGGATGGACAGAAGCACGGATGAATGGACGGACGGATGGACGGAAGCTTAGCCCCACGCATCATCTTCACTCCATGGATGTGCTGCGAAAACCACTAACGCCATCTATTTCCAAGGAAGTATACACACAATGCCATCAATTGAGGAAGTCATAAACTAGAATTGGCTACTTACATACGGAAGAGGGAATGTCTCACGGCTCAACATGCTTCGCCCCTGAAAATTCACACCTCAAGCACCCCGTAAAAATAGATTACCAGCGAAAGCTGAAACATGCAGCCGCGGTGTTAAGCAGTGCATTCCACCCGACGCGAGGCTAATGTGCTGCAGCACTCTCGCGTCGGGCAGTCTCTAGAATCTCTCAGTCCTCTTACCCTGGTGTAGGATAGCAAACCGGATGCTCGCCTGGTTGTCCTTCCTTCCTTTCCTTCCTCTACCTCCTATTTAACCCCACACTGAACTCAAACCTGTCACAATTTCTGGTTACATATTCGTGCTTCGTAATGAGGTTAGACACACGCCTGGTTTGGGTTTACCATATTGTTGACATATAGCGCAAACGGGTGAGGTGCAGAGGGGAGTACGGCTCGAGCTGCTACTCACCAAGCGACTGGCCCTCGTCCAGATACCCGTGCGCTACTCCAGGCTCCCCACACTTCTCGAGGTATCTTAAAGCGCCAGCGTCGACAATGACGGTGATATGCTCAACGCCTCGCTCGCGGCTGAGTGTAAAAGAAGCGCATGAGTGACGCCGCCTGCAGACAAATACATATCCGGACCTGCATTCAAAGCCTGTGATGCACCTAACCGCACACGCCGATTCTTTCTCGTGGTGTGGAGAACAGCCGACACTTACCCACATTACATGGGAATGTGAGTTAAGGCCAGCCAAAATAAATGCGCCTCAGATTCCGGCGACAAAAGTTCCAGAGCGATCAGTGGGATATGTTCCTCGCCAGCAAGAAAAAGGAGGTCCGAATGGTGCTGCCGGATCAGGCACAACTATGACATGAAAATCATGACATATATGCATACATATCATAATATTATTTGTGAAGCATTTCTTAGTGAACTTCGGTGGCATTGAGCGCATCTATCTATCTATCTATCTGTCTATCTATCTATCTATCTATCTATCTATCTATCTATCTATCTATCTATCTATCTATCTATCTATCTATCTATCTATCTATCTATCTATCTATCTATCTATCTATCTATCTATCTATCTATCTATCTATCTATCTATCTATCTATCTACAGGGTTCGGTTCTTACTCAGATCAAATACTTTCTATAATTTATTTGCACCGGCCCCGCCGCGGTGGTGTAGTGGCTAAGGTACTCGGCTGCTGACCCGCCGGGCGCGGGTTCGAATCCCGGCTGCGGCGGCTGCATTTCCGATGGAGGCGGAAATGTTGTAGGCCCGTGTGCTCAGATTTAGGTGCACGTTAAAGAACCCCCGGTGGTCTAAACTTCCGGAGCCCTCCACTACGGCGTCTCTCATAATCATATAGTTGTTTTGGGTCGTTAAACCCCACATATCAATCAATTTATTTGCACCGCTTCTCCTATTGCATATAGTCAAATGCCATGTCAAATGTAAATGCCTTTCGTGCCACTCATTTTCGGTATACAAATACACAGTCGCCAGCATTCAAATACGTACTCAAGGCACCAAGGCACAAATACGGCGCGCAAGCCGCGCTTACTTTGGGCGTGGGCGACAACCAGGCGGCAATATTGCGAAGGATGCACAATGTCAGAGTGTTGTGGCGACAGCTGCAAGACAAGGCAAGGCAGGACACTTCAATCAATACGCGATACGAGGGCGGCGTAAACGAAACAAGAAAAACACAAGCTAAAAAACCAAGCACAAAGAATAGGCAATGTTTGTCGAGGCAATGGCCAAGGTTTTTTTTTTTTTTTTTTAACCCCAGTATGTATATTGACGTGTTTTCACGACACAATGTCGGGTTGGATGTCAAACAACAAAAATATTTTAAAGAAATTCTCCATTCTGTTTTTCATTCAGGATTTATCCAATATATTTATGCTTCTAATAGTTTGAGAAGTTTTGTTGACATGCCCTGTTTAATGAATAAGTCGGTTGACGAAGGGTGGTGCAGCACAACTCAGGTTAAGCCATGTAATGAAATGATTGTAAATATACAGGTGTATAAATCAAAAACACACACTGAGGAAGGACAAGTGCTTAAATAATTCGTGTGACAAGCTTAATGGCTGTAGTACTACCCCATTGAGATTTCTAACAATATTAAAACAACTAAACTATTTTTTTCCTGATGTTGATTTGCCCTTCCTCCACAACACGCTGTTTTCCCACCGAGTCTTCTCGCTTTAATAACATTCAAGTTATTGTGATGCATTGTATTATTGTTAGTATATAAATTGTTAGTACACTGTACTATGAGTCATGTTAGTAATTTTTATGCATACTGGTAACTCTCGACTTGGCTAGCACGTGCAACAGTCATATGTATGGAGTAAAAGTGGCAACGTCTACACAAGCAAACAATCTCTCACCGGGTCGATTTACTGCCATAAAAAAAAGAACGTCGCGCTTGAAGCTGTCACACTCAAAAAAAAAAAAAAACTGTGACTTCGCCTTTCCTCTTAGGCTCACTACCTTCGCTCTTCAAAGCTGTGATGTTTGTTTCAGCATCTATTAGTCCCCAATGGCTTGGCCCTAATATATTTTTGTTTTTTTTATTTACTGCACGCTTCTTTAGTTAACCTCCCTACAATTCCTATATTATTTATCTCTTTCTCTACTGCATCCTGATAAGGATTGTTGAACTTGTTCGCCTCGTATCACAAGTTGCTTCAGACAAGTACGCGGGCACCAAAGAACACAGATTTGCATGTTATTTTATTGTACTTACGTCAGACGGAGGGGCAAGAGAACGTTAAGAGCCTTGGTTTCCTGCCTGCTGCTTGTAGATTCACAAAACCTACCTTGCCGAGAACCCTGTTACGACAACGTAAATATTCTGAGAGTGCTGGCCAACTATTTCAGGCCTCTACAAAGAACACCGGGTAAACTCTCCAGCGTTTTAGGAGGCAGTTTGCATGCGCAAGTGTTCTGCGTGGCTTTATGTTACTGGAAGCGATAAAAATAATAGTCCCTTGTTTCATAGGAACACTGACTTCGTTCGGCTTCAGAAAAATCAATGAAGTTGCCGTTTCACGTGTGTATACGCTGCACTAAGCTTCTTTGCATCGTTGTATCCTGAAGTTTGCTGGTCCCATGGGTTTACGGGACAAACAACCAGCAATAAAACTCGCAGCAATGCCTATACTATTTTAGAAACGCCATAGGTGCAAGTATTTTTTTTTAGGGGCGAAGCTTCTTAGGTTGTGGGTCATTCTCTCTGTAATAATATGTTGTAGTAGCTTCTTCTAATTAGTTTTAAGAAGGACTCATCAGATGGCCTTGTGTGCATAAGTCCTTGGAAATATTATAACAAGATAATGTTACTGGTTCTCGTATAGGTGGAGCCCAAAGAGGAAAAATGGCGCTGTTATATTAAGAAATTCACATACATATTTCCACAGAGTGAATGATAGTGAATGGGGCGAAGCGTCCGTCAGTCGGTCCATCCGTCCGATGCGTGAATTAGTGTGATAGTGTGATAGAAGTGGACGGAGGGATGGACGAATGGGCGGACGGACGGACGGACGGACGGACGGACAGACAGACGGACGGACGGACGGACGGACGGACAGACAGACAGACAGACAGACACACAGACAGACAGACAGACAGACGCTGTGACTTTTTTTCTAGAAGCGCGAAAAAAGCACATACAGCCCCAATATTTTGGGCCATAGCTTGCGCAATTTGCCGTTTCCATCATGCGCGCTGTTCTCGTTAGCGTCTTTTCGTTCTTTGATCTTCTATATCAGCAGCCTCTTGACATCTCACGATGCGCCGTTTTCAGCTGTCATTCACTCACGAATACCATTCATCAACGAAAATGGTTATGCCTCATTACAAATGAATAAACATCTTAAACCAGAAAACCTTGCGAAGTGCATGTTCTTATTTCCATCGAGCAATAACTTCCCCGTTGTTTTATTGAAGTGCGTAGTTCGGAAAGGGAACGGGATGCAGGTTCTCTGTCTAAAATCGCACAGAAAAATTTAGTGCTAGCAAAAGATTATAGCGGTATTGATACGACACATTTTCTATGCGGCCGACAACAGTACCAATGACGTAGGCTACACCCAGACCACACAGATAATAGCAAAATGTTATACTTCCTCTCCTTCCCTCTTTGCACACACTTTGGTGCCATTCTCCCTAATACAAACAAACTACATTGTTGACCACGCCTCCACCTCCACATAGAAACCAAGCACTATGCCTCCGCCGTGAAAACACACGTATACTGTTACAAGGCAATGTCTGGCGAAATAGCGATAAAACAAAGCAGAGCAATCAATCTCAGAATAATAACTGTATAGATTAC